TGGGGGATCCTGGAACCAAACCCCAGCGGATAACAAGGACTCACTGTATATACACTTGTCCCTCCACATTCGCTGGTGTTAGGGGCACAAGACCCCCATGAAAGTGGGAAAACCTCAAATAACAAAAACACTATGTTTTGACCTGTGGGAACACCTCTCTGGGAATCTCTAGGTCCTCCAGTGCAACTCTTTGGTCAACATCTGGCAGACATTGACCATCAAATTGTGCTGGAGGAGCCGCAAATGCCTAGTGGAGTCTTCTCTCTAGGAATCTCTAGGTTCTTCAGTGAGACTTTATCATATTTTGTCTAATTTATCTTATCCCATTATATTATATGCGTTGTATTTTATGTATTGCATTTCCTCACATTTTACCATGTTTGCTGTTAACTGTTTGATATGGTCAACGGACTAATCAATAAACTTTTAATTAACTAACAGTGCGACTTTGGGTTAAAATTGACCATAGAGTCATACTGGAGGACCTAGATGTTCCTAGAGAGAACAAATAAATAAAATCTGTGAATAATCAAAGCCACAAAAGTCAGAGCCACAAATGTGGAGGGACGAATGTATAACTTTAAGAAAACACAATCATTTCCCAAAAGTAACTTCTCCATGCCCTGTGTTTGGGCTTCCTCAAGACCCTCAACTGCCTGTGATGCAATGGATCCTCCGTCTGAATCCAGAACCGAGAACCTGTTTGTGAGGTCACTTTAGAACCCAGGTTGGTGCTTCGGTTGGCAGTCCAGCCTCGGGGTGATCAGCTGGCAGATGGCTTGGCACCCTTGGGGACCCCGAGAACGGGGGGCACCTTGAAAAATAAGGAGAAAACCAAAGCCCACCAGTGCAAAATACAAAGAGGAAAGCACAAACAGCCAGTCTGCAGCCGGTGGCAGGAATAAAATAGGGAAGAAAAAAAACATAGGAAGGGATTCATGGCTGGGAAATTGGTAAGGACGTTTCTTCATTTGTTGCTCCATTAGGCGAACCTCTCTTGGGGTTTTCTTGGCATGTTTCTTCAGAGGGGGCTTGCCATTGCCATCCTCTGAGGCTGAGAGAGTGCGACTTGCCCAAGGGCACCCAGTGGGTTTCCATGGCCAAACTGGGATTCGAACCCTCCGATGCTCACAAACCGTTGCAGGGGAAATAGTGGAATTTACTTGTAAGTAAGGATGTATAACTTTACCCAAGCAGAAAAAGCATTCTATGGTAATAAGAAGCTTCTTCAGAGGAGGTTTGCCATTGCCATCCTCTGAGGCTAAGAGAGTGTGGCTTGTCCAAGGTCACCCATTGAGTTTCCATGGCCAAGCAAGGATTTGAACCCTCCGATGCACACAAGCCGCTGCGTAAACTATTACGGGGAAGTAGTGGATTCACTTGTAAGTAAGCATTCATAACTTTACCTAAGTAGGAAAAACATTCCATAGTAATAAGAAGTTTCTTCAGAGGAGGTTTGCCATTGCCATCCACTGAGGCTGAAAGAGTGTGACTTGCCCAAGGTCACCCGGTGAGTTTCCATGGCCAAGCAGGGATTCGAACACTAGACTCCAGAGTTGTAGACCAGTGCTCAAACCACTACGCTAGTACCTGTACAAACATTTCTTCATACAAATATATTTTTTTCATAAAATAAAAAGGATATAGACCAGTTAGGGATGATTAAGAGAAGAGCAACCAGGATGGAGACTAAGATCTAGGAGGAAAAGTTGAAGGAGCTGGGCATGTTCATCTTGATGAAGAGAAGATAGAGGCATGAGATGGTGGCCCTCTTGAAATATCTCAAGGGCTACCATGAGAAGCAGGGGACAGATATATTATTTGCTGCCCCAGCAGTTAGGACCAGGTCTAATGGTTTTAAGTTACAGGAGGGTAGATTTTGGTGGAACATTAGAAGGAACGTCTTGACAGTAAGAGCAATTTGGCAATGGAACCAATGTTCTCAAAAGGTACCGGGTCTCCTTTGATGATCTTCCAAAAAAGACTGGATGGCTACCTGCTGCAGATGCTTAGCTGGAGATCCTGCACTGAGCAAGGGTTGGACTTCATAGCCTCTGGGGATCCCTTTCCAACTCTAGGATTCTGTAATTCTGTTATACAGTTGGCCTTTCATATTCCCAGATTCTTTTTATCCACAGACTCAAGTGTCCACAGCTAAGGGCCATTTTATCTAAAGGACACAGTTTTATTACACCACTGTTTAATGGGACTTGAGCATCCATGGATTTTGGTGTCCACGGGGGGCCCTGGAACCAAACTCCAGCAAGTACCAAGGGCTAACAACAACAACAACAACAACAACAACAACAACAACAACCCATTGTATGTCATGGGACTTGAGCATCCATGGATTTTGGCATCAATGGGGCAGTCCTGGAGCCAAACTCCAGCGGATACAAAGGTCCCATTGCACTTAATTTCCTTCTTTGAAGGTTTTTAAACAGGATGGATTGGTATCTCTCAGGAGTGCTTTAGTTGTCGCAGTGAGTTGGAATAAATGGCTCTTGTGGTCTCTTCCAACTCATTGGAAAAGATAGTAATGTTTGGCAAAATAAAAGGTTGCAGAACAAGAAGACAGCATTACAGATAGATTAAATAAAGGAAGTTGCAGCCCTGACTTTGCAAGCCCTGACTTTGCAAGACCTGAGATAGCCCTTGGGCTCCCTTCCAAGGAATCCTAGGCTGCATCTGCACAGTAGAAATAATCCAGTTTGTCACTGTTTTAACAGCCATGTTTCCATGCTATGGAATTATTGGAAGTAAACAACGCTTCTCAGAATTCCATAGCATGGCGCCATGGCAGTTAAAGTGGTGTCAAACTGGATTATTTCTGCAGTGCGGATGCAGCCCAAGAATATAATAGAAATGTAGTTGGATGGGACCTGAATTGAATGGGATTGGACTACATAGCCTTTGTGGTCTCTTCCAGCTCTGCGATTCTATGCTTTTAGTCAGTGGTTCCCAAACTTTGGTCCTCCAGATGTTTTGGATTTCAGCTCCCAGAATTTCTGATTGTTGGCCAGGCTGGCTAGGGCTTCAGGGAGCTGAAGTCCAAAACACCTGGAGGACCAAAGTTTGGGAACCACAGCTTTTAGTTTTGGGAATGCTTCTCTCCCCACTTTGCACATGTCTTTTTGTCCCAGACCTCTGACTGTGGCTGATGTCCCCTTTCCTTCTCGCTTTGTCACTGGACTAGTTCCCCGAAACCTACATCGGTGATTCCGAGGATGTGTGCAAGAAGACCCCACCTGGAAAGAAACCCCTGGTTCCCCAAAGAGACGTCAAGTCAGCCAGCCCACCAAGCCTAGAGAACAAGTCCCAAGATGACAGCCCCAATTTGGCAGATTCAGAAGAAATCAAGGAGGTACGGAGTCCTAGCATGGCAAGTATGAGCTCTAGGGAATCGGGTCAAATTTCTCCAATGTCTTCCATGGATCCTCTGAAATTGCAAAGGATTTTAGGAGTAACTGCAGGGCATACATGGGAGGTAAACGTATATGGAGTAACTTTTGCTGTTGGCTACTGCATTTACTAATCTAGTTCTAGGGAGTTCTTTTAAAACAACTGGCCAACAAGTGAGTTTTGCCAGACCATGCATCATCATCATCATCATAATTGGCTCATCCACACTGCAGAAATAATCCAGTGGGGATGCAGCCGATGTCTTGTCTGACTTCAACATCTGATATTTTTTAGGCAGAACTAGGAAGAAAGTTCCCATTCCTCTTTTACCCCACAGCAGGGATTCTGGCAATAGCCCTTACCAAAAGATAAAATAAAATAAAGGAACTTTACCAGATCTGGTTTAGGGGAGTTGGGAAAGGTCAACCTGCAAAAGCCAGACCAGGGATTGCAACAATCCAGCCAGTCCAGCTTCCATTTTCCTTCCCTTTGCAGTTGGGTGTGTGGATCTTTCTCCCAATTTCCCCTTCTTCTCTCAACGGCTGGCCTGCATGACATTTTTATACCAACAGTTGCCTTCTGAAGGCGAAGGTGGCCACCGTGGAGATGTTGAGTTTGCCAGAGAGGAAATGGTGGGGCTGGCACCAGAGAGCCATCCGAAGGAAGGTGCCGAAGAAAACCAGAAACACCTCAAAGCACCCTCCATGAATTTGTTTGATTTTAAAAGGGTAAGTGCACTGGCATTACTAGGGAGTGCAGGTAGAGTTGCCATATGCCAGTCCCTCATATCTGGGCACTTAATTTGCATATGATGCAATAATATTATTGTAATAATGTTTGTTATTCATTTGCATTTGGATTATGCAAACTTGGCACATTAATAATTGCACCTTTTCTACCATTATGTTATGATGAAGGAGGAATTCGGCCTTTACGCTGCTTCAGCTGGCCCAGATGACCAGGACAGTTTTGGGATCTTCCAGGTTTTTGGGACAAATGGTACCCCTAAGTGCAGGAAGTGCCCACACTGAGTGACACCTCAAAAGAGGGGTACCCCCAGTGCTGCAGGCTGAGAAGGGGCAAGCATGTCCTTTTGGCCATCCCAGGTGACACTGGATAAGTGACAGGCAACCAGAGTGTGGGCAAGCTTGGAAAAACATAGCTATGTTCATTTCTTTGAGCATAAAAAAGATAGGGTGCCAGGAAGGCACAGAGTGCCACCTTTGAGTCTGACTTATTTTAGCATGAACATTTGTGGATCTCAGTCCTCTTTTCAAATATTTTGATGGAAAGTGATGTGGAGGGTGTTAAGGATGGAATACTGTTGTTAAAGCTCCAACTTGGGTTTGTGTGTCTTAAGTCGCTTCTGACTTATGGTGACCCTAAGGCAAACCAATCTTGGGGTTTTCTTGACAAGATTTGTTCAGAGGGGGTTTGCAATTGCCAGCTGAGAGTATGTGACTTGCCCAAGGTCACCTAGTTGGGTTCATGGCTGAGCTGAGAATCGAACTCTGGTCTCCATAGCCATAGTCCGACATTCAAACCATTGTGGCTCTCTAGGGTAGATCCATTCAGTCAACTGCTGCATGCATGCCGCCCCCCCCCCCTAATATTTCACAGCTTAAAACTGGGACATGTGCATGGCCAGGCAAAATCACTGTGTGATCAAGAGGACAGAAGTCATTAATGAGGAAGAACTGGCAAGTTAGGAGAGGCTCCAGCAGTTTGCTTTTGCCTGGGCCCACTTGGAAGGGCACAGTTCTGCCCTTGCCTATCCTCCAGCTGAATTAATGGAGGGAAAACTACTTTTGCACTCTAAATTCAGTTTGCAGCAATTAAAGTAATTTGAAGACTGAGGAGGAAAGTGGGAGGAGAGAGAAGCCAGGACTTTTTAAAAGCAGCTGAATAAGTGGAACAGGAGATTAATTGGAATTGTCCCTGCCAAATTGGTACCATTGGAGGGTATGGCACAACTAGGACTCATATGGCTAAGCAACATCAGTGTGTGCTCAAGATTGTTGTGAATGAGGAATAACATACAACCTAGGAGAGGATGCAGCATTTTGCTTTTGCCTGAGCCAGTCAGGAAGGGCAAGACTTTGCCCTCTTCTCTCTTCTCCTCTCCTTCCTGTTCAGTCAATTGAATGCAAGCAACTTTTGCACTTTGAACTCATTTTCAGCAATTGAAATAAGCTGAGGACAAAGGAGGAAAGTCAAAGGCAGAGAAAGAAATTGGTACATTTTAAAAGCAGCTGAAAAAGTGGAAAGAGCAGAGGATTAATAGGGGCTGTTTTCGCCAAATTGGAACAGTTGGAAAGATATGTTTGTATGGTGATAAATCTAATCAATAAATATAATTGATTCAATGGCTCCAATCTACTTGGGACAAACAAGAGAATTTAGGCCTGTGGGTGCATTTGCACTGTAGAAATTATCCAGTTTGACACCACTTTAACTGCTATGGTTCCATCCTACAGCATCCTAGGATTAGTAGTTTAGTGAGGTACCAGCACTTGTTGGCAGAGAAGGCTCAAGATCTTGTAGAACTCCAAATCCCAGGTAGCTGTGTTGGCCATTTAGCAAATTCACAGAAATTTTTTTAAAAAGAGGGGTCCCTGTTGAGATGCAAATAGATTTTAAATTTCCTGGACTTTGCAAAACTCCCTATAGCCACAGGGCCAGGAGGAGGAGGAGGAGGATCCTGCATGCAAAAGATATCCTCCTCTGCACCATATACCATCTTAACTAAAGGCTGAAACAACATGTAGGCATCTGTCTAACATCTCCAATTGTTCTTTGCCTGTTTGGTTTGTAACATCTTGCCTGATGAAAAAGCCTGTGGAGCTTTGAAAGCTTGCAACAAGTATATTGTGCATTTGTGTTGGCCAATAAAGGTATCACTGATGGATTTTTGTTTTTACTCCAAATCCCAGGATTCCATATATAGTGAAGCCACAGCTAAATGGTGTCAAACTGCATTACTGCTGTGGTGCAGATGCCCCCATGACTCCCTGAATCCCTCAACCAGTTGTGGGAATCTGGGGACTGTCGTTCAAAAAGGGAACTTTTCCCAACCTCTGACTTAGTTATTACAAAAAAAGAATGAACTGCAAATAACTTGTTGCTTGTTAATGAATTACTTCCACTCTCTGCCCAGAGATACTTAGCAAGAAGCCTGGCACAGAGCTCTGAGA